TTATTTATAATTTTCTTTGTAATTTATAATTTATAATTTTTCGAATAATAATTTTACACGACAGAATTTGCATATACCTAATACGATGTTATATTTTAGTTTATCGAAGTTTAATTTTAGCTTCGATACGAAGCTGAGAAGGTATTATGATGTGTTTTTTTTATTTAAATTTTTTTTTTTCTGTGTCTAGTATCACTTTTTCTCAACTCTCAGGCGATTTCTTTCAACGATACGTCAAAAGATCAAAAATTAAATCATTTTTATGAGAAATAATATTTATATACTTCTTCCATTCGACATACTGTTTTTTTAAATTGAACCATTTCTCTATATATGAGGGTGGGTTGAAATTTAAATATGCATGTAGAAAGTAGAACTTTTTCAACTAAACTTTTGAAAGTGTTCCGAAAAGTCTGACACTTTTATATATATCTTAAATTAAAGCTTATGTATGTATTAAAGCTTATTGATTATGGAAAATTTCGGATTTTATTTAGTTTTTATGGTGAAAACGGACATCAAAGTTAATAAAAATATATGATATTTGTAAAAAAATTATTTTTATATTTTAATTTTATAAAGCTATAACTTTTTGAAAAATGTATGGATCATTAAATTTTTTTAAAAATAAGTACTACTTATATTTATAAATTATTAACATGTATATTTATTTATTCATATATTACACTTATAAATCATATAACATGTAATCAGAATATAATAATAAAATTTAATCAAAATTCACCATTAACATTTGATACATTTGAATAGGCCAGTAAATATTTGGGAATAAGTTTATATTGATTTTTTGGTCCAATTCATAATAATATTTTTTTGTAGATTTAGATACATATTCTAAGTGGTTCGAAGCTAAAACTATAATTTTTTAAATTACTACAAATAATTCTATACAACAGATAACAGAAATTTTCAGTAGGTGGGGATTATCATATACTATTGTTTCAGATAATGGTTTTTATTTAACATTGTGTCGTAATATGCCTAATGCTTTGCATTGTGCATCTTACATTTATCAATGAAAAATGTATAATCTGCATTTTATATTAATAGTATACAAAAAAATAATTTATTTATCTGTTATAACATATACACTGTTGTACACTAGCTATTATATATATATAATATACATCTTATCTTAAAATAACTCATGTTATGTTCAATTTAATACAATAAATTGAGAATCACTAAAAGCGCTGAAGACAACCCATGAAGGGGGTAATTAAAAATAATATAAAAAGGCTTAGTTCTGCTTGCACATCAGTGAGCGAGCGTGCCAGTGAGCGGCTCATTCTCTCTTCTTTTTGAAGATATGAATTCAATAAGGAATTCAGAATCCTTCTATCTGATTTATTTTGAACAAACTAGCCACGACCCCGTATTGTCGTCGGTACATTTTTAAGCGATATCGAATACAATTATTTTGCGTTAGCATTTTATTATTTAAAAGAGACAGTACAAATCTTTACGCAAACCTTGACGATCTTTGTACAAGCCAAATATAAGAAGTAAGTAAATTTAGATTAACCCAATTATTTAGAATTAATAATCTGATTAAAGAATAATAAAGCAATAAATCACATATTTATATTTATTTTTAAACTTTATTAATTATTACAGACTAGTTTGTACCTTATACATAATCACATTACATGGTATTCGTAAGATAGCCGCCACCTCTTCGTTGCCTCAGTGTATAATTTCAGGTACTTACCAGTTAGGTTATCTGTAATACCTCTATAGAGAAACTTTAATAATTTATTTTTATATCTACTTGTCTTTATTGTTCTAAACCCTACAGACTCTACAACCCCGATAGAACCTCGTTGCTCCTAAATTGACCAAATCCTCAAATATCCAACATTGGTCAATAAATCCCCAAACACCTTTTTTGCTTATTTTTGTATTATTACAATTGAGTGATTGAAAACAATTTTTAAAATTAAATGGTTTAAATAGTTTGAAAACAGTACCGGGTCATCCATCAAGTGAAAAGAGTTGCAAAAAATTCTGTAAAAACCTTAAAACACGCTTTATTGACCGATGATATAATTAAAATAATAAATGTTTTTATATTATTAAACAGGTTTTAGCTCAATTATCGTAATATTTCACGTGAAACTACAAATGAAGCACCAGCACAACTGATAGTTGATCGATTATTATGTTGTATATTAGACGTTTTTCATTCGTCTATTGACCAGGCAATAAAAGATAAAACAAATGAAACATATAGTTAATTATAGTGGAGAACTGCATAGAAATTTTGCACAGGGAGATAATCTTATGGTTAAATTTAAGTTATTATTTTGATGGAAGAACATGGACTGCGGTAAATAAGATATGAATATGAATCTAATGATAAAATATATAATAGTCATATAAACCAAATAATAGATGCACAGTTAAGAAATAAGGCAGATGCGATTCTATATGTTAAAAATGTAGAAGAGAAAGATAAAAGCAAGGAAAGCGGTATTATAAAAACAAAAATACCAAGACTCTTACCTAACAAATGTAATGGTTTTATTTATAAATAATTAGTTTTATATTAATTATTTATTTTTTATATGTATATTTATTATTTATTTATTTTTATTGGTGAAATAAGTTAAGCCGATGTAAATAAATTGTTTTTATTTCTGTTAATAAAGTATACAGTTATTTTAAAATATATTAATCTTTTATTTTGATATTGTGTCATTAATTCATAAATAATTAATGAGTGTCGTCGTACTAGCAACATGTTGTACTCTTTTTAGTAGTTGTAATAATGTTATATTATAAGTACAATAATGAATAAAAGGCGACAATGAAAAATAAAAATAAAAATTATAAATCTATATATTTTGCTTTTGTGTAAAAATTACTTCAATACTAGTAAAATATTTTGTAAAATGTATTTTTATATTATTTAATTGAGTACATTCAAAATTTAAATTTAATTTATTTCAGAAAAATAATTTTATTATTTTGATTACATCAAACATAATAAATAATATATTTATTTATTTAAGTGTCATTTTATTTTTTTGGCGAACTTAATAATTTAAAAACAAGTATGGTAATCATGAGATAATTTATTATTTTAGTAGATTGTTCTTAACTAAATATTTATTTTACGAATTTTTGCAACATTGAAAGTAAATTACTAAAATTACTACGCATTTAACAAAATTTTGAAATAGGTTTTTATAACAATAAAAAAATAAATTTTAAAATTTAATGCATCTTTTAAATACCTAAGGATTAATGTTGGGATGAATAAATATTTTAAAATGTTTTTACCAAATTGCATCACATTTGTTTATATATAAAAAAAAAAACCTCTTTAAAATTATATATTTTTAGATGAATTTTATAAACAAAAAAAAAAAACCCAGCACTGGGGGGTCGCGGCATAGTTGGATCAAGTATAATGATATCTGACAGTGATTAAAATCACCATCAAAATAATCGCTTCGATGCAAATCTTTAGATAGTGTTTAATTTTAAAAAATATACTTTTCAATAAGTTATAGCATTATAAAGTTAAAAATGTGAAAAATAAAATCGAGAATTTTCACACAAAAATAGCATTTGGTAGCTATTTTCACCGTGAAGACAAAATAAATTCCGAAATTTTTTTTTGAATAATAAAGTACATTACATTACCTTTAATTTAAGATATATATAAAAGTGTCATACTTTCCGGAACATTTTCAAAAATTAAGTTGAAAAAGTAAATTTGTTGTGAAAAAGTTGTCATTTTAAATTCCCCCTTTTGGGCAGGTTAAGGGTTAAATTTATGAAAAAAATATACTAAATGAAAGGTAATGATATCATGCATCTATATAAAAAATGCATCTAAAAAAGACAAGTCCAGAGGTCAAATTTTTTTTTTCAAATTAAAGTATATTACATTAGCTTTAATAAAAGATATATATAAAAGTGTCAGACATTCCGGAACATTTTCAAAAGTTAAGTTGAAAAAGTAAATTTTTTGTGAAAAAGTTGTAATTTTAAATCCCCCCTTGTGGGCAGGTTAAGGGTCAAATTTACAAAAAAATATACCAAATGATAAGTAAAGACATCAAGCATCTATATAAAAAAAATTTATATTGATATGTTCATTTTTGAAAAAGTTATGGCACTTTTAAGTAAAAAAAATTGAAAAAATTTCGAAAATTAGCGATTTTTAAATTTGTAATTTTTTTGGAGGTTTCCCCCAATTATGGGGAACGGGGGAATTTTTTCAATTTTTAAGGGTAATGTCTTTGACTAGATACGATTTGTGATCTTTTGACGTATTGTTGAAAGAAATCCGTTCGGTGAGAGCTGAGAAAAAGTGGTAACAGACACACAAAAAAAAAAACACATCATAGTAAAACCAATACCTTCTCAGCTTCGCTTCGAAGCTAAAATTCAACTAAATACCAAAATCTTTTCAAAATTGCTCTCAACTTACAATTAAATACAATACTGATTTTTTTATAGGAAAAGCAAAATAAGTGTATGTTTATAAAATGATGGCGATTCTCAATTTACATTTTTTAATGCTATTAAAATATTTTGTAAAATGTAACTAATATTGTTTAAATGAATATATTAAAATTTAGATTAAATTATTTTCAGTATAATAATTTTATACAAATAATTAAAAATAAAATCGCTATTGAATATGTTACGTATTGATAAATATTATATAAATTAGTAGTGGACAATCCTCACTACTCACGAGTGCCATCACAGGCACACACACCATTAAAAATTATATTGTTTCTCAATAAAAATTTATTTTCTAATGAACTATTTGATGCTGTCTTTCATACTATGATGGTTTCATAAAATTTTGTTTGAGGGATTTTTTATGTAAATATATAAAATTGATTCATATAGGTCACAAAAATAATTTTAAATTTGATTCTTTTCATGCATAAACAGCTCTATAAATCAATATGTTATTAAAAATGTCTCCAAAATTTACTATATAAACTGCCGTTTTATACACCATTTTCAAATTCGTTAATTGTATTTACCTGTTGTAGTTAATTCATACGTTGTAATATAACCACAAAATGTATAATAAAATCGTCTTAATATTTTGTTTTGTGTGTACTTTCATTACATACATTGATGCATCAAGCAGTTCATCGGTAATTATCCTTAAAATAATTATTTTAATAAATTTTTTTTAAATACATTTTGCACAATGTGTGTTTTATTTCATTAAATTTTTAACAAAAATCATTTTTTCTATATACAGTAGACTTTGTAAAAATAATACTCCTAATTTTTTTGTTTCATAATATTTTCATAAAAATGTATTAAAAAACATTTTTTTTATTTTATTGTTAATTTATTTTATATGATTCCCGGCATTTCTCTACATCGTATTAACTTGACATTTATCAATCTAATAATTAAAGACTTATTTCTTTTTTTCTTTCACAAATAAGTAAAAATTAGTTAGGTAGAAGTTTTTTTTATTTATTTCATATTCGAGCATCACTAATTCTTTTAGGCTTATAATTAATTTAACTTTAACTTTTATAGAAGTTTATATAGATTCTACAGGAGGAAGAAAAACCATGATTTTAATGATTAAAGCCATAACAATTTTCAGTTAATAGGATTATTAGGATGAAATTTAGAAAACTATTTAATGTCCTTTTTTACGACGCTCAGTAAATTTATTTTAATGATTATAAAAATGAGATATGCAAAATTTGTGATCAATATATGATAATAATAATTTGTGAATCACTAATAGAAAATAAGATGAATAATTAGAAAATGTAATTTTTATATAGGTTTAATACATAAAAAGTCATCTAACTGATATCATAGCATAAAAATATGTTAAATTTAATTTTATATTAATAATACTTATAATGATATAATCATTACATATTCTTTAAGCTTAAACAAAATATGTTATTAAATTATTATTTTGGATAACTATTGTACCTTGTGTTAACTGTTAATTATATAAATTTAATTTTTATTAAGAATACAGATCATGCAATTAAGTTGTTTAAACTACTCAACAAAGAGACAACAGATACGATTAACTTTGATGAATTTAAAACTATGATGAGTATACAAATAAAATTGAAAGATGAAGAATTGTTGGAAATGTTTAATAAATATAAGTTAAACGGTAGTACATACAAAAAAAATTAATTAATTAATTAATAATTAAAATTATTAACCTAAAAAATAAAAATTGAAGGTAGTGTCATACAAAGTAATCGATTTATTATACCACTTAATTATTCGCAAAATAAATACAATATTCAAAAAAAAAATGTTTGGTTTGTTTAGCAACATGTATTAATTAATTTATCAAGTATTAATTACTTTTTAGAATCATCAAATTATGACTTAAAGAGATATCAAACTTTTTATTTTAAAATGGCGCCATACATATATAACTAGCTAATAAAATAAAAAAAATAATCTAAGTAATATAATGATTGGCCGATAATAACACTTGGACTAGTACTGTAAAAATTATTTAAATTTTTATATCTAGGCAGGAGAATAGGGGCGACAGAGATATGTCCAATAATTAAATTAGCAACAACTACACTATATCTGCACACTATATATTAAAATGCTAATAATTGGTACAAAAAAGGAGTATATATATAGTATTTATAAAAAAAAAAATGTATTTATCCATATTTCAAAAGTTTATACAAATTTAAAGTTACAAATATAAAATTGAAAAGTTTAACACACAAGTAGAATTTTTTTTACTACAGCAGCACAATTTATTTTTCATAATAAAAATAAGTCATCAAAACAATCTTTTTTTAAAAATATAGAATGTACACAAGCTTTAATTTAACATATGTTTATGGCTCGGTGTATTTCCAGAACATTTTAAAAACTTAAGTTCAATAGGGTAAATTTCATTGCGAAAGTAGCCATTTTTAATCCATCTCAGTGGGCAAATTAAGAGTCAGATGTCCAAAAAAAAAAATATACTATATAAAAAAAAAATACCTAAGATATTTGTAAAATAATTTTTTTTTCATTATTCTATTTCTAAAAATTTATGACAGTTTTAAGTAAAAAATGTCCAAATTTAATAAAATTGATAGTTGATTCAGATTTAAAAATCCTAATTTTTTGGGGAATGTCTTCCATTAACGGGAAACAAAAGAAAAATTTTAATTTTAAGGGTTATGTCTTCAACTAGATGCGATTTGACATCTTTTTAAGTATCGTTGAAAAAATTTGGGCCAGTGACAGCTGAGAAAAAGTAGTAACAGACATGAAAAAAATTTTTATTTTATAATATCATGATAAAATTAATAACATTTCAGCTCTTCGTCGAAGCTAAAATGATCTAATTAAGAAAATAACAGGGTTATAATAACACTAGGATCAGTACTTCGAAAGTCATTAACATTTTTATACATAGGGGGAGAGGTGTGGTTAAGATATGTCCGATAATAAAATTAGTAGTAATCATTACCACCAGTCTATAATAGTCTATAATAGTAACTTTTTAAAAACTAATCCAAAAGTTGTTATCGACCAGCCATTTTATTAATTAGATCATTATTATATAAACTTATTAAATATGAATATTTTTAATTAAAAAATTTATTTGACATCCTTATAAGTTATAAGGGATGATTCTAACAATTAAGTAATACCTGATTCAAGACTGGTATGAAAGGAAAAAAACCAAACATTTTTTTTTTTTTTGAATATTGTATTTATTTTGTGAGTAATCCAATGGAGTATGATAAACCTTTTATCCTATATTTTGTTCTATAATATAAATTGTATTTAGTTGAAAAATTGCCTCTTTGATATAATGTCTATCAAAAAAAAAAATTTTTTTCATGAATTTTAGAGTTTAATACAAATTGATCACTTATGTCTAATATCATTTAAAATAAAAAATATTAACTTAAAACTAAAAAGTTATAGAAACGTTTAACTCAAAAATTCATTGCAAAAATTATTGAAAATTGTGAATAAGTATTTGGGAACAATATTACCATTATCAACGCTATAAAGAAGACAATAGAAATATTTAAAAATAGTTTAATTAAATGGGATCTTGGCCCACTGAAAAATTTATATGTGTTTAGCACTGATAATGGTAACATTGTTCTCGTTATACTTACCAAGGATTTTTTAGTAATTTTTCGGACATGAGTTAGTATTTACTGTAGAATAGGTTTAGCTATAGGCTATAAAATATTAGAGTGTGTTATACAATGTTAAAAATTTCTAGATTCTAAAAAATGAAAATTAAAAATCCAGTGTAATTTATTAATTTTTATGTTTGATTGTGTCTATTTTGCAATTCACCTTTACATGAAATAATTTTTAATATTCAAATAAAAATCACATTAAAAGTAATTCAACTTATATATTATTTTTCAAATTTATATCTAGTATACACAACCAAATCTTAAAACTGCCATTACTTTTTCAAAAATGAACAAATCAATGTAATTTTTTTTTATAGATGCTTGATGGTATCACCTATCATTTTTTTTATAAATTTGACCCTTTACCTGCCCACAGGGGGGATTCAAAATGACAACATTTTCACAAAAAATTAACTTTTTCAACTTGACTTTTAAAAATATTCCGGAAATACTGACACTTTTATACATATCTTAAAATAAAGCTAATGTAATGTACTTTATTATGGAAAAAAAATTTGACCTCTGGACTTGTCTTCGTGGGGAAATGGCTACCATATGCTATTTTTGTGTGAAAATTCTCGATTTTATTTTTTACATTTCTAACTTTTTAATGATATAACTTATTGAAAAGTGTATGGATCAACACAATTTTTTATGAGAAATAATATTTTTTAATAATCCCTTTTTCATTTGACATACTTTATCTTAATCAGAATATTAATAAGGAAATAGCAGATCATGTAGCTTTTGGAATATTCCGCCATTTTTTTAAAATTAAACACTATCTAAAGATTTGCATCGAAGCGTTTTTTTTTAATAGTGATTTTAATCACTGTCAGATATCATTATACTTGATCCAACTATGCGACGTCACCACTGTGCCGCGACCCTCCTGTGCTGGGTTTATTTATATTGTAATAAAATAGATGTCAAATTAAAGTTTATGATGAATATTATAAGTTTAAAAAAAAAATTTTGTCTCGACGACTAATCTTCTATGTGCAAACGGTTGCCTTAATTAATAAACATGCAATTTTGGTGTTAAAATTTACGATTTCAAATTTTATTAGTTAAAATTTTTCAACTGAATTTTTGAAAANTTTCAAATTTTATTAGTTAAACTTTTTCAACTGAATTTTTGAAAATTTTCCGGAAATATGGAAATTTTTATTTAATTTTAAATTAAAGCTTATGTAATATACTATACTATGAAAAAAAAAAATGTCGAGATATAGTGAACATGATTATCATATTCAAAAATATGCTATTTATGTGTTAAAATTTTGGGTTTTGTATTTTAATTTATTTTAATATACCTTATAATGGGGTACAGTGATTTTCATGAATATTATATAAAACTAATTGACATAGAACATAAAGTTAAACTTATTTCAATTTTTTTTTTCTTCAAATAAAGTAATTTTAATATTTTAATCAGTTTAAATTGCCAATTTTATCAAAAACGAATGCGACGTACGTTTGCAGATTCAATAAAAATCATTGCCATAGGAATAATAATAATATTTTATTTTTTTAGAAAATCAAAAAATGAGTTTTACGGAATTTAATAAATTCCTGGATGACACCATGGAAGGGGATATCACAGAAGATGATTATACTGAAGTATTTAAGGCTTTTGATAGTAATAATGATGGAAAAATCTCTGTTGATGAACTTCATGTAATATTACTTGGAATTAATCCTCATCAAACTATGAAAAATACTAAAGACGCTTTAAATACATATGATAAAGATGAAAATGGATTTATTTGTCTTGAAGGTAGTTTTGAGGTTTAAAAAATATACATATTAAAATGTAAAATGTATCAAAATCTAGTAATGATAACTGAGATTACAAAATATTATTAATTGTAAAAATTTAATTATTAGATATAAAGTTTAATTACTTACTGTGAATGAGGAAAATAATTATAAAACTATACATTAGGATGATCCTAAGCTACTTAGGTTGGTTTTTAGCTTCGATGCGAAACTGAGAAGGTATTGGTTTTACTAAGATGAGTTTATTTTTTAATTTTTATTTTTTTTATATCTAATGTCACTTTTTCTCAGTTCTCACTGGACCGATTTCTTTCAACAATACGTCAAAAGATTACAAATCGTATCTAATTGAAGACATTACCGTTAAAAATAGAAAAATTTTTCCTCGTTCCGCGCAAATGGGGGAAATCTCCAAAAAAATTACAAATTTAAAAATCGCGAACTTCCGAAATTTTTTCTATTTTTTTTTCTTAAAACTTCCATTACTTTTTCAAAAATCAACATAATTTTTTTTTATACTAAAACCTTAGATATTTTTCTATCATTTGATATAATTTTTTGAAAATTCATTACTTAATCTGCTCACTGGGGGGGATTTAAAATAGCACTAAATTTTTGAAAATGTTCCGGAAATACTGCGTCCTTTAAACATATATCAAATTAAAGCTTACTTTATGTACTATAAAATAAAAAAAAAAAATTTGTCCGGACACCTTATCTTCTATGTGCAATTGGCTACCGTATCCAAAAATATGCTTTTTTTGTGTTAAAATTCTGGGTTTTGTATTTTATTTTAAAATATCTTATAAGGGCAATTCACTGACTTATATTATATTATATATAACATAATATTATATATATATTATATAATTTAATTGACATAGAATAAAGTTCATAAGACATATGAAATGAAACTTATTTAAATTATTTTTTTTTTAAAGTCGCAAAAATAACTTTTAAATTTGACTTAGCTTAAATTGTTAATTTTATCATGCAACGAAAGTGACGAACAGTTGCCGAATCGGTAACACTCGAGTCTTTCACGCACAGGGTACTAAGTTCAAATCCATCTGTGGCATTAACATTTTGCATTTTTTTTGAGTTCGAAAAAAATTTTCAAATCATTTGATTTTTATCTCATTAAGATTCAACAACTTCAATAAATATCAAGGATCCCATCACTGTAGTCTCCCCTCGTGAGAAACCGTTTTTTCTATTTAATGATGTCAATTTCAAACTTGCAAATTGAGCTAAAAGTTATTGTCAGAAATTCATTTTTTTTTTTATAATAAACTTTCATTTTAAAGGACAAAAAAAAATAATAATTTTTAGCATTTTAAAAATCAATAATAATTTGAAAACAATTAATTATAAAAATGATATAATATATAAGTAAAAGAATTACTAATCTGGACATAATTAAGGAAATAGAAGTTGATGTTGCTTTTGTAATTATCCACCAATTTCTTAAAATTAAACACTATCTACAGATTTGCATCGAAGCGTTTCTTATGATAGCGATTTTAATCACTGTCAAATTAAATCTATACTGGACCCAACTATGCCACGTCCCCACAGTGCCGCGATCACACTGTGCTGGTTTTTTTTTTAATAATATTTACAAGTGCCACTTCCTAAAGTTGTACGAATATATCAACAAAATAATTATGAAAATTTTTTTAACGATCGGTCAACTTTAAAGCATGTCCCAAGACAGTTAAAAATGGTACCCTAATAGTAATTTTTTAGTTTCTTTTCTCAAAAACATTAACTTGTACGAAAAAGTTTTTTGTAGATTTAATGCTTTTCTATAAAAAATATTTTTTTTCTATTTACTATACATAAGTACGTCGATTATTTTATGAAATTATACAAATTTTCTCAATATCTTTATAACTTTAAGAGCCACAAATTTCGTTATATTTATCGGTGTACACAAAAGTTATTCACAAGATAAACTTATTAATATAAATTATGCAATTATTAAAGTTCATAATTAACAGTTACCCTATTATTCATACATAAATTTTAATTAACTTTATTATTGTTCTAGAATTAAAGGAAGTGTTGAGTGGTAGAAAAAAAAAAGAACATTAAGAAAATATTTTATCATCTTATATGATATTTTTTTTATGTTATACAATACTAATTAAAATAAAATAAAAATAATAACGAGAGTTTAATATCAAGTATAAAAATTAAATTGTAACACCAGAAATTTTACTCAATATGCATTTAAAATGTCTGTAATCGTTTAGTCTATACTCTTCTGCTACACAATAAAATACTATTCTACAGATACGCAAAGTACAATAAATATTTTTCATTTTTTGCATGACAAATAACTGACAAAAGTGCAATTATGGAAAATAATATACGTCTTCTTCTTCTTCTTCCTCGCTTTAATCCCAATTACTTGGGGTCGGCCACCCTTATCCTAAACTTCCACTTGACACGATCTCTCACATCCTCTACGCTCACATTAGATGTCCTCATATCGCATTCAATAATATATATAAAGTTAAAAAAATAAAAAATGAACTTTATTTCTATTCTTTATAGTACAGATTTTTAAATTAAGAAAAGTTAGTTTCTATTGATTTTTAACATTTAAGATGGTGGTATAGTTAAATTTTGGTATAACACTTGGTCTCTTAGTTATTTAACTTATTATTAAGTAAACGGAACTTTTTTAAGTTAAAAACTAATTTTCAAATTCCTAAACATGTATTTCACAAGTTGTAGAAATTAAGTGACTAAGGTGCCACTAATCTTGTGAATGTAGACATTTTTTTTGTGTGAAGTTATAAGTTTTATTACTTTGTATCAAAAAATTAATTTACAATATTACAGGTCAATCTAACATTTTTAGCACGTGTTGCCTTAAACTCAAAATATTTCACAAAATATCATACATTTTACAAGTATTAGTCACTTTCGTTTAAATAATGATTTTATTAAAAACAGTTTTATACAATACTTTCTCAAAAGAAAGTTAATAAATATTTAACCTACAACCCTTATTTACAAAGTTATTAATAAAAGTTTAAAAATATTATGAATTTAGAATCGATGCAAAACTGAGAAGATATTGATTTTACCATGATTACTTTTTTTTTTTTATGTGTATTTCCAAATTAATTCTTAGATATTACTGGACTGATTTTGATGATCTATTCGTCAAAAGAACTCAAATTTAATTCATTGAACCTATTAACGTCCAAACTTGAAAAATCCCTAGATTTTAGAAATTTAGTAAAATAACTCAAAATTTCAATATCATAAAAAATTTCTGTGTTTTAAATAGAGATGTTAAATTTCAGAAATTTAATTCTGAAGAAATTTCCTGGAGGAAATTTCCAGAAATTTCTAAAATTTATGTTTTTTAAAAATGTAACTTTAATTTAACTTATTAAACTTACATTTTTTGTTAATTAGCTTTAAAAAGTTTAAAATTATTCTTTAAATTTAGACAAATATTTTATTCCCTAATTTGATTTATATTTTAAATGGTATCAGTAAATTTAATTTAAATAAATAATAATCAATATATACTTTTTTAAATAGACATAAGACTCGATTCTTTATTATTATTTATTAGTCTTATTAAGTCAAAACAATTTATTTTATTTTATACTTAAATAATAAATATTATTCAAAAGTTCAAAACAATAAAACAAATGTATAAAAAATTTAACAAAATTTTTTTTTTAACAAAACAAAATTTAAAAAAACTTATCGCGTATCCAGTATACGGTGAACACCACACAAAAAATATGTATAATTATATATAATTATACATATTATATTATATATATATATACATATCATATTACATAGGGTGTCCCAAAATTAACGCAAGATTTGAATTAAATAGAAAACACCGTTTTTAGTCTTTTGATAGTTATATTTTTATTGACTCATAAAGTACATAGGATAGGGTTATGTATGGAATTACACATCGGGCAAATGGCCTCCACGGCTTTGCATGCACATGCGCACTCTTTGTCGAAAGTTTCCATGACCATTCTGCATAAATGTGGCTGAATTTCGTTGATGCAGCGTTGAATCTCCTCCTTTAATGCACGGGTGGTTGTGGGCTTGTGGACATAGACTTGTGATTTCAAATAACCTCATAAAAAGAAGTCTAATGGTGTTAAATCACACGATCTAGGGGGCCAATTTTGATCACCGAAACGAGAGAGTACACGACCTGGAAATGTCTCATGCAGTAATTGAATTGTTTCACAGGCTGTATGACATGTGGCACCGTCTTGTTGAAACCACATATTGGACACATCAATATCATCCAATTTTGGCAGAAAGAACTGTGTAATCATGTCGCGATATCGAGCACCAGTAACAGTCACTGCTTAACCAGCATCATTTTCAAAAAAATATGGCCCAATTATGCCTCTAGCCCAAAATTCACACCATACAGTCACGCGTTGTGGGTGCATTTGTTTTAGTTGTCAAATTGCTTTTTTTCAGGGTTGCCAACACTTCACTGCACAAATGGCGGCAAATTCAAATCTTGCGTTAATTTTGGGGCACCCTTTATATGCATATATTTATTTATATAGATTTGTATAGAAAGTTTAACATATATATATATATATATATATTTATTTATTTCAATCACACCTTTGCGCAAAATGTCACCAGTTAATAAGAGTAGTAATTATAAATATAATCGCAAACAACATAAAAAAAAAACAATGAAAATGAAACGCAGCAACCAGTCCAGGTTAACGTCGGAAACGGAACAGAACGCAATATCCGTAATCCATACTCGGCGGCAGCCTTATCTCAGTGTCAAGGGCGGAGAGACAACCGATGACAACCGATTGTCATATTAATTAAGCTGGACGGCTGATATCGCGAGAGACACGGATGAGCGCCAGCCTAAAGCAACGGGCGGTGCCATGTCAAACTTAACAATTCTTATAACTGAAATTTGAACGCTAAAAAGAGTCAAAAATAAGAATCTGATGTTGAATCATCTTCATTTACAATATTTTCCTCTTCAAGTGAAGACTCCTCATTACTTCCAGTTTCATTAATTTTTTCAGCTCTTGTTGTTTGTTCAACTTCAATAATTTCTGTTTTATAATTGGTTTGGTTCAGTGTATCTACATTTACACTTAAATTACTGACGTTTTTGGTGTCAACTTTCACATCACCACATAATTTAAAATTTTGTTTAACAAATGTGAGTTTATCTATCCTGGAATTTAGTAATCTATTTCTACGTTTGCTATGAATAAAGCCTTGAGTGCTGAATGAGCGTTCAGTAGCAGCACTAGTCGCTGAATTTGAAAGTATATGGTGAGCTATACTAGACAGACATGATGATCCACAAATGCCTTTCCACCATAATGCAGGTTCTCTATCTTTAACGAAAATTCATATAAAGCTGTTTTGCCACAGCCCTCTTTACCTCAATATTTTGCTAAATCAATTAAAATAGCAGAAATCTCAGCTTGGCTGTAGTTTAAATCTTCTGCAACTTTACAAATAAATTGCATGGCTTCCACTTGTTCTTGATCAGTAATGTTTAATCCAATTGAACCACAATTTAATATACCAGTAGCTAAGTGTATAGTTAAGACAACTGAACCCCATCGTGTAAGTATTGCTAGTTTTAATGTTATTATAATTTTCTTTTCTTTCCCAATTTTAGTAAACTTTTATAATAGAATAGCATGTCCACGAATAGTTTTAATAATTTTACAAACATCATCTATATATTTTTTGACAGAAACTAATTTGCGAATGTCTCCAATCATTAGGATAAGCGTATGAGCAAGACATCCATAAGAAGAAAGATGGGGATATTTTTGTTCAAGTAGTTTACAAGCCCTGCACATATTGTTTGCATTATCTGTGGTGACAATAAAAAACTTGAGTGCTACATATTTTTCAATAATATCTTTCATAATTTTATACATGTGTTCACCTGTATGTCTTCTGTGTCAATAGATTTTATAAAAACTGGTTCTGGTATTGTTACAATTATATTTATCACTCCTTCATTCCTAATAAAAAAAAAACACCAAACATTGATATAACAAATAATTATTAATAAAATGAGTAAAATAACTATGATAAACATTCAAGTTTTAATAAGGGGTTGTATTACAAATTTACATGTCATCTTTATACATATATATCTTTATATGGTCATCTCATTCTGTCAAATGGATTCTATAAAATCACTTTAATAATGTTTTGAGTAAAATGATTTACCTAATGCATATTATTCGTTTTTTTTTTTCAAAAGTTAAATATTATTTTTAATTTTTCTCTTATTGTTTCAAAAGCATCAATTTATTTTATCAAAATTGGTTTTATAAAGTTTTCATTGTCAAACTATTGTTTTTTTTGTAATTTGTTTTACAATATTTTCAAAATTAAATCAAATATTATTTCTACACATAAAATCTAACAAGTAACATAATGTATATCTTAGGTTAGTCCAACTATAAGCCTGAATACCTATATTTGAATCATTTTCAATTTTATTTTCAACTTCAAGTGAGAGACGAAAATATTCCATATTCAATAATTTACCAGCAAACAAATACCTTAGGAAACATTAAATTGAATAATTTAGATAATATTTTGTTTGATAATTGGAAACCAATTATCATAATCAAACATCCAACATTATTCAGTATTACTGAATAATCAGTAGACAGTAGGTAACAAAAACTCAAATCAGAAAAGTAAAACCTTATAAGAAGCTAAGTGTAGTTTAGTAAACTATGATAATATAACTACATCACTTTTTTCAACTAAAATAATAATAATAATATCGTAGAAACATATATAGTATGGAAATTTTATTGTTAAATAATTTAAATTATAATATTTAATATTGACTTAATTTATTGTATATTTAATTGCAAAATGATTACATGGATATTCACAAATATTAAAATTACAATATAGCCTATATTACCTATAATTTTAATTATATATGTATTAGTATTTAGTACAACAGATCACTTAAAGCTTTATATTACATAACAATTTTTATGTTTGTGTAAATCCTTCAACTAAATATACAATCAATTAAATAATAATTATAAAAGTTTTTCATAGTGCACACAATTATATAGATAAAAATTATAACTTTTATAATTCACTATCATAAGAAAATTTGAGTAAAAATTTACTTACCTAGATGGAACAATAAAACTTGGCTGGATAGTTTTGAAGAAATTTTTCCAATAAGGATTTTCCAGTATGGATAAAGGACTTTCAGAGAATTCCTATAAATTTGAAATAAAATGTAT